GCATAACTCCAGGCAAGGGTCTTAACCTGGCCAAACCTCAGTTTCCAGCTGTAAAATGGGACCTACTTTTGAGGAATGATTATGTAAACAAAGAAGTATTCAGTAAATGTTGACTATTACCATTGTCTCCCTATTACATACCATTTATTTGTATAAAGAAAAGCCTATAGTTATTATTGCTTGTTAAATATTTTTATTTTATAATGGAGTTATAAATACTTTGGAAGTACAATTTTACAGTCTAAGAACTATTATCATTTCCCACTTTGTCCACAAGTAAGTGAGGTCAGAGAGACTATGTCCTTTATCCAGGGGAGGCAGGGCTTCATTCTGGAGCTTGCTATGCTCTGCTGCTTTCTGATGTTGCCAGCATCTTCCATGGCATAGTATAGAGCTAAACCACACTAGAAAGCTTCTGAGACCCGGTCTCAGCAGCACTCTGACCTGGGCTCTCTCTTTGTGCTTACCCATGTCACTCTAATTTTAGTTTCTTAGGTTCTTTTTCCCTCCCACTGGACTGTGCCATATAACTTAGGGACCATATTGTTGATTCCTGAATCCCAAATAGGATCTTTTAATAGGTGAATGACCTCATAAATTTCCTGATGCCTCAAACCTTAGTTTCTGTAAAATAGCATAAAGACAGTACCTGTTACAGAATTAAATGAGTTTAATATAATTTTTTAGAGAAAACATTAAAGCAGCACTGGACACATAGCGAGTGTTCAGTAAATAGCAGCTGCAGCTATTATTTTTGTAACTGTTACACAGTGAACAGTATATACTGTGCAAATCAAAATCTCCTTGAATTTCTCTGCACAAGCCGTGACAATTCACTTCCGTTATCCCCATCCAGAGGCAATGAGTTAAGTCAAGGTAGAGCATACCTCTGCTGTGGTTTACTCCCTTAAAGAGGAAAGCTCTGAAAACTTGAGCCCAGACTGCTGTCTCTTAAAAAGGAATTTTAAATGCTGGGGCCTGAGGCTGTTTGCCGACACCCCTCCTGAATGCTGCCACTAAGCCCAGCAAACACACGTTGTAACATGCTGTTACCAGTCACGTGTCATGAGTGTTGAGATCCCTTCCTCCTAATAAGCAATCTACATAGAAGCTGAGGGGTGGGTGTGATGGGGTTTCTTCTCCAGGGATGATGATTTGGGCCAAGGGGACGTGAATAACACTCAGAAGAAGCTCCTTTTACTATTTTTAGCGCCAGGTCGTCATTTAATGGATGCAGCTGAGGTCCTTAGGGCAACATTTTGTTTAGCTGTGGAGCCAGGATTTCTTTCAAAGGGTGTTAACTCCTAGCCCATGTGCTTTCCTCTCCAATACCTGCCTTCCGGCGTTGGTTCTGGTTCCAGCTCTGTCCCTACACAGAGAGTCGGAGCTGTCCAGGTGAAGACCTGTGCTGGTTTCTTGTCTCCCGTCACCTCCCTTTTCTACTTAGTAGAAAAACGTTCATTGTGTCCAGTTAATGCTGGTATCGGAACTTCTCTGTGGTAACTGAGTGTCTTTGCACGGACACAGCGCTGAATTCTTCAAGTGAGTAATCTCTTTTTAAGATGCCCGTACGTTTTTCAGTGGTTACAGACTTGACAGGGCCTAGCTCTGAATTGACTGAAGCACTCCTGGCAGCATTTAGTCAGCTCTCTGAAGTGGAGCTTCTTTCTGCACCAGCACAGGCAGCCCTCAGAGCCTCAGGAAGGCAGCTACCTCTTCCTGTGCCCTCAGAGTGCCCTGCGCCCGGGGCAAGCAAGCTGCCTCTTCCCAAGGGGAGTGGTTTCAGATTCCAGAGCTGGGTCTGTGGGTGACCTGCCTATGTATTGGGCCGGTCACCCTGTACAGGTCACAGCCCAGAGGAAGGGAGGTGGGACTGGTAGCACACATTTCCCCTCGAGATCACTGTCTTCTCCGTCTCAGACACGGTGCCCTCCAGTGACATGAGAGAGGCTTTAAAAGATATATTCCAATAGACTTTTTAGAAAGCCCATAAAAAACCCTGGATGTAAAGAAATGAGGCATAAAACCCAGAATGTTTGGAAGTCAAGCTGAAAATTGTGGTAGCAAGTCTCCGTTTCCATTTATTAAATGGGAGCATAACTTACTATTTACACCTAGAAGGATACTGAGAACCACTTAACATTCGTTACATCTAAGAAGCAGGTACCAGCATCTCTCAGAACCAAGGTGTTGTCCATTCTACCCCTCTGCAGCGCTCTAGAGTTTACATTGGTCTGGAGGCAAAGGAGGGGTGGAGCATGGGGTAGACCTGGGGAAACTTTCACCGGGTCTGGTTGAGCATGCAGGATGGGGGCAGAGCCTCTTTCTTTCAACATGCACGCTTTTACAGAAATAGAGCCCCGGAGTAAGATACTGCACCGTCGTGAAGGCGGGTGCTGAGTGCCACACATGCCCCTTCCCTTCACTGTTGTTTTCATTTTCCTCTCATGAACCTTGCTACCCTGGCTTCAGCATGGAGGCTGTAAAGGAAGATGGAGAGCCGAGTTACCTCAGAATGATCACTATCGTTAACATTCACGGGTGGTTCACTTATCATTCCTGACTGCACAGACATGGCAGCCGCTCGGAAGCGTCCGCAGGTGTAGCATGGTGATACATATTACATTGTGCCACAATGGATTTATGTATTCTGTAACAAAAGAAAAGTGTAATGAAAAAATACAGAAGGTAATCTTTTATTCCTCCACCACACAATTTATCAGTAATGCCTGTGGATGATAAGTGCCAGGGATTTCCTCTGCTTGCTTTAACCTTGTCACCTAGGTATGTTTTGGTAAAATGACGGAAAAATACAGACTGGGGATTTTCCTGTGTTCAAAAATCTTTTAAAAGGACACTTTTAATTTATGGAAGTTAGTCCAAACACAAGGCTTCTTTCTGAGCTGTTAGTCTGCCTTTGCTGAAAAAGATGAACGTATTGGCCCGAAATTATGCTATCAGCCAGCAGCAGATCAGAAGAGAATGTAAGCAATTTATGAGTCAGCTCAAATCTTCAGTAGTTCAGGTAGAACTAGGTGGATGGGAGTTCATGGGGCATAGGCCAGAGCTAGCTTTTGAGTACCTAAGAACTTGTGTTGCCTTTCTGCCCTGCTCATCCATCGCCCAACATATTGTCACAGATGGAGCACAGACTGATGTCTGAGGAGAAAGCAGGAGAAGGCAAATCTGAACGTGGCTGATTGGCATTTGTTCCAAACATACACTGGCCTGTCGCCAGAGCAAATACCCCAAGTTTTTAAATGCACAAGGCACTTTACATTTCAGTACTCCTGCCAAAGTATCACTTACTGCATCACTCCCCAAGTATAGGTTTTTTTGGTTTTGTTTTTTTTTTTTTTTTTTTGGTAAAAAAGAGCTATTTCTTATTTTGCTTTGATCAGTAAAATAAACTTTTAAAGATTGTTCTGGGATGGGGTCCAGCTTGTGAGGTAAAGAATGGCTGGAGCTCAGGCATCATTCAGTAACAGAGTGTTCAGTAAAATTAGCCTGACAGTTCTCAGGCCTGCTGTTCGATAGCAAGAACTTGACCAAGTTAAAATGGATGATCGTGCTGGCCAGACCAGCATCGGCTTTTGCTTTTTAACAAATGGAATGTCAAGGATTAAACAGCCAGCCGTATGGAGAGGAGGACTGTAGAGATGTCTCTGTATTAGGGAAGCAAATTGGGTTCTCAGTTTTGAGATCGGCCTGAACCCCTGTGGCGAGCCAGCCACCAGGTTGGATCCAGCCTAGGCTTCAGGCCCCTTCCCAGCCTGTCTTACCATTGGGGAGCTTTTCCAGGGCTTAGCTTAGAGCTTGGCTTTTCTTTCAGATTTCTTGTCAGTATGAAGTTCTGCCATGTTTTTGGCCATGTTCCCCTTTGAGCTTCTTATGGGGAAATGGGAATGCAACCAAACTCCTTGTGGCAATTCCCATGTTCCATAGTTGGAAACTTGGGTCCTGTTTGTTACATGAGTTGCTTGGAATTGGCCTGTTTTGTTTCAGTGCCCAAACGTAGCGGGTAGTATTTGTGATATTTGCTATTGCAATTAAGTGTCATGGTGAAGTTATACCTCACCCAAGAGATAGGCTGCTGTTTTTTAGAGTACTTGTTCATTAGCTACTTTTCCTAGCTAGGTGAAACCCTCCCCTACACAATTTGACCAGAAGCTTCAAAGTAGTGTTAGTGTCTTCTCTTAAAATTATTTGTGCTTCAGTTAATATGTGGTTTGACTTGCTAGGACTAAATAGATGAAACCATTCCTACTGTAATGTATACACACATTCCTACTGTACTCTGTGTGTGTGTGTGTGTGTATATATATATTTAAATAGAGAGAGAGGTGTTTTACTACCTAGTTGAGAAGAGCCCATCATCTCCTGCATCTGATTGCTTTGTGATGTCCTTTCTCATCACCCTGCCCGTACCCCTGACCCAGGTTTTTCCTATGGGGCACCATGAGCTTGTTATGATGATGGTAGTATCTGCCTGCAGTGACATCTACTGACACAAGCCAATTTTATCAGCTGTCAGTCCTTGCTGCAGAGGAATCCATGATGCAGCTGACCCACACAGACCAGTTAGGTTCAATTTGAGACAAATGAGGAAAGTTTTCCCCAACCATGACCTCTCTTTTGTGTGGAACTGCTTATACTACAGTGCATCACTCCCTGCTCTAGCATTACAAGTAGAGTTATTCAATCCACTTTTGAACAGTTGGTACTTTATCTATACTTACTTTAAAACACAGTGAGGGGCTAGGCATGGTGGCACATGCCTGTAATCCCGGCACTTGGGAGGCCGAGGCAGGAGGATCATTGTGAGGTTGAGGCCAGCCTGAGCTACAAAGTGAGTTCAAGGCCAGCCTGAGCTGCATAGCGAAGCCCAGTCTCAAAAAGATTTAAAAAAATAATAATAAATAAATAAAATGCGGTGAAGATTTTAATAATATCTCAGTGGTTGTATGTTGGAGATGATTTAATTTTGTCTTTTCCCACAGAAATGCTGCTCATGGATTCTCCCTTATCCAGGTGGACAACACAAAGGTCACCATGAAGGAAATCTTGCTAAAGGCAGTGAAGCGAAGAAAAGGATCCCAGAAAATTGCAGGTGAGTTAGTTAAAATCATACCATGCAAACAGGAGTTTAGCCCTTGGTTAAAAGAGCCTAAGGTATGAGGGGGTGTGTGTATGCGCACATGCATGGGTGTATCTTCGTGTTTATGTGCGTGTACTTGTTCTGATGTCTGCCTAAATTGTTTCAGATATGATTGCTAGAAGATTTGGTTAGCCAGTCTACAACAAAAATAAAACAAACCTCCCCCTCCAAAAAAGGTGATTTTTTTTTTTTTTTTTTAGCTTCCCCTGGACCTCAGAAAGGGACTGGGTCAGTGGCATATGTGAGAAGAGTGTGTTTACATCAGTTATGGACATTCTATCATTAATAATGTGGGTAAATTAAGACAGAGCTATTTGTGCTAACCATTGGTTGGTGTAAGACTATCTTCAAAACAGAATCAATCCTGAGCTTGAATCACTTTTCATTTCATGTTTTCATGCAATTTTCAATGGGAGAACTTTTAGTTACTAGTGTTTGGGGAATGGAAAAAAAGGAAAAATTTCTGTTTGCTTTTACTGGTTCAGGGCAATTTAAAATTTTTTGAGAAAGATAAATCACAAGTACCTGTTAATCTCTAACTCTTCATTACCCAAATTTATGTAGAAAATAGGCTTATGATACTAGCTACGAAAATTAAAGTATGTTGGAATAAATGTTACTAGTATCGAGAAATAGTTATTTTGAGAAATAGCTTAAAGATTTGTTATATCACAGGCAACTTGACTGTAAATCAGCCCATACATGACATGTCAAATATCTTAGCTTTCTAAATAAAGAGACTTCTTAAAAACCTTTGATTTCACCTTTTGGAAAGGAGAAAAAAAGCACTGCACAGGCTGAAGAAAATAGTTTTGTGCTCTTTTTAAGGGGAGGCATATAATCTGTTCCAGATTTAATTAGCTATCTTCAGATGAAAGCTGAAGTTTTAATAAAAGTTAGAAGAGATAACACAGTGAAGGACACGGATGAGCTGTCTCAAGGCCATATTCCAGGGGAACGATAAGAGCTGTAAAAAATGGCAGAGGAGAGCAATTGAATGGAGCAATGAAAATCTGATTCTCATAAAAAAGAGAGAGAGAGAGATGCTGGTAGGGGCGGTTGTAGATGAGACCTGCTAGCGTCTGCAAGCAATTTGGATGCTTGCCAGGAGTCATTGTTCACCCTCGGCTGTGGCGGCTCCGTCCAGATGTGCCAACTGCACGTTTCGGCTTTTGCCAGCTGACTGCGCCGTTTGATAACCAGCTCTCTGGATGCCCATCACTGGCCGCAGAGATAGAATTAAATGATGATGATCTTCCCACAAGTTGGGAGAGGAAACAATGCATATAAATCTTGATTTCATCTCAGCATGAGAAGTCTTTATCCATCATCACTCATAATGAACAAGTCGTTAGCTGGGATGAATGGTGTTCTGGTTTTTCCAAACAACTCTTTTGTTCATTTTTTGGGTGACTTTTATCTATTGCATGGGGGTCAAACCTCTTTGCATTTAGGGGATGATTAAAGAGGCATAGCTTCCCTTTCCCAGGGGAAAGGAGATATTTTGGGGTTCTAGGAACTAATCTGATCGCTTTTAAACAGCCTCAGATACTCACAGATATTTAATAAGTACTCATCCTTCTTTAGAATTTGGGTTCATTTTTCTTGTTTTGTCTCTACCTTTTTAACATATCTGTATATTTTGTGATGTAATTCTTTATATTCAAGCATGCATCATTATGAATTAGCCAAGAATGAGACAGAACTTTTTAAACCTTCATTATAGAAATTGTGCTGTCACAGATTTTTTAGACCATGAAACCCCTGTGAACTCACTGGGATACAGCTGAGCCAGTGTCTTTCGTCTGTCTCCAGCCATCTCTGTCTGATCTTCTACCTGTTTGTCTGTGTCTATACCCAGTGTCCACATTTATCATGCATACATCTATTTATGTTCACCTTTGTGAGCACATCCCTGCCATTTCCATCAGCGTCTTTGCCATATCCTTGGCAAAGACCTAGGACTCATTGTCTGAGAAACACTGATCTACATTTATTCCTTTTCTTACTAGAGGAGCCAATTGAGATTAATACATTTACATAAATTATAGTGTCCATTTTCTTAATCCAGAAAACTTTTATTTATAATAGGAGATTTTTTCAGTTGCTTTATTAAACCTGGCCTCATGAAATAAAATGATTTTCATTTTGGCAAAGACACTTGTTTAAAGTTAATATAAAGATGGGACACACTGTGTGGTTTTGAACTTTGTAGTGAGGAGTGGATTTCTTTCAGAAGGTGATTAATGTAAAGAGGAAAATCTTGTCATAGAGGGAAAGACAAGTACATTTACTTTAAAAAAAAAACAACTGTGCTGCTCACAGTTGGCTGTGAAGTACTTACCACTTGCCCATTGTGATACATGAACTTAGTCATGAACTTGTTGGGAAGAGATGCCAGGTCAGAGACAAGCATGCTGCACTTCCTACACTCCTGCCACAGTGACTGCCCAGTCTTTGCAAGAAGGTGTCTGTTGTGCCCGTGTCCAGGGCAGAATTAGCATGCCAGCCCTCTCAGCACACAGCTTTCACCTGATCGAGTGCAGAACCCCCATGTCTCTGTGCTGCTGTTACTCAAGTGGGGAGAGGGGAAATACTACTTGAAATGAAAGGACACATGTGTGCCATGTGGAGCCGGTAGTTCTCACATGGCTTATTTTCTAGAGAGACTGGTTACACTAGAACAAGAGTTCAGAAATTTTGTGGTGGGCTAGCAGCACACTTCTGTCCTTACCTACAAACCTTTGATTTTTCTTAGCCTTTTTCCAGACTGAATGTGTTGCTCTTCAGTTCATAATAACAATAAACTTAGAATTTAAGCTATTTCACTATTAAATCAAGACGAGGGCTTAGCTGGGCACAGTGGCACACGCTTGTAATTCCAAGAGGCTGAGGCAGAAAGATCATAAGTTTGAGGCCACCCTGGAAACTTAGTGAGACCCTGTCTCAAAATAAAAATGAGAAAAGGCTGGGGTTTAATTCAGTGGTAGAGTTTGCCTCGCATGTGCTGCAAGGCTCTGTCTGAGTTCATCCCTAGCACTGCCAAAAAACAAAAACAAAACAAGATACGGACTTAATAATCACAGTCCTAATAGTTAAATACTCTGTCCCTCTTCCTTCTGGCAGTCCATCCTCAGTTTTCATTTTAAAAAACCAGAAAGTAGTAGATATTTGAGCCGAAATGCTTCGTGAGGTAAATAGCTTTTTCAGTGGAAACTTTCACAGTTTTAAAATAGTTTTATTTTGTAGGATAGAATATCACTATAAACACTTGTAACTAATCTAAAATTTTGACTTACATTATTTGTAATTATTTCATCAAGTCATAACTATTTATGAACACAGTAGGATTTTTCCCTGTTAATATTCATGTACTTAACCATGGTAGACTTTTCACAGTGTGTTCCAGTCAGTTCTCTGCTGAGGCACATTTTTAAATCCTATTTTTAAACATCTTCTTTAAAGTTTCTATCTTTTCATTTATTACTGACCTACTTGACATTTGGAATCTACCTGCATTGACAGAAAGTCCCCACTGTTGAAGAAATAGTAAATGGAGATACCGGTTTTAGAAGAATGAGATGAAACCTTTTTATTAATTTTAACAGTTGGATGAGTGTGTTTTTGACACAGTGAAGATGACCTGTCAAGTCCCTAGATCTAGCCAGTAAAATACACTAACCTGTTACTTAGGTATAAAGTTCTTAGTTCATTACTTTTTCTCCTGTCGAGGTCACCTCATGATCAGTGACCTTCTGAGTTTTATGGTATTTTGTTTACTGTTATTGTTTAGAAATGCTAGTACTCACCAGCCTATGCCAGTCTTCTGAAGCATGATGTTGGGTAAGACAGAGATGCCATTAAGAAACAGAGGCAGATCAATTTCAATTTTAACACCGACATAGAAATATAGGTTCTTCCTGATCTACAAAACAGAGGGTTCGGAGTGGGTTTTATCAAGCAAAATAGATTTCTGCATAGCTCTGTTCAATATTTGTTCTCATCATGAAATGGAGGTGTTTTTCTGTATTACCAGCTAAAAGACTGAACATATTTTTTCTAACCTCCTATCCATTCTTGCCTTTTGATATGAAAGATAGATGTTTATTAGAGTTTTTTTAAAGTTCTTATAATATTGTTAATTCATTCCTACTTCTCTCTTATAAAATTTCACCAACAACTTGAAAGTGTTATTGGTCAAGTGAACTCCCTGTAAAGTCTGTTTAATAGAGTCTCAGAATAGTTTATTGCTCGCTAGCGTACTGCTTGCACAAGACCCGTGGATGTAGCCCAGGCCTTCTCAAACAGTATTCCTGAAGGTACTTCTAGGAGCAGAGAGAGGCAGTCCATGAACATCTACCACAAGCTGTGGGGTTGTGGTCTGAGGGCATCAGACTAACAGTGGCATCATTGGAGTCTTAAATTGTGTCTTAAACTTCATGTCAAATCTACATCTTGGTCCATAATGTATTTGTAGCTATGTTGCACGTTTACTTATCATGTACCTCATTTGTTAGACCTGTGCTGGGTATAAGGAGACAGTGGTGAAGGTCATCAAGGCCCTTGCTGAGTGGTGTTTTATATTCTAGAGCAGTGATAGCAAACCTTTTAGAGCTTTCAGTAATACAAACAACCCTCTGCAGCACGCTTGCCATCGGTTCGCCACCATGGTTCTAGAGGGACTTGAACATGAGAGGCTAAGAGAGATGACTAGTGTGCCAGGGAGCTCACAGCATCATCCACGGCGTTCAGGAAACTCCTCCCTGAGAAACTGACATTTGAGCAAAGACCTTCACATCTAGGCTGTGAAAAGTTAAGGAGCAGAGAGAGCCAGTAGCTCACCATATTTTAATATATAAAGAACATTTCAGCAGTGGACTTAATTCCTTCTATCCTAAAATTGTAGTAAAATTGACTCTTATGAGGCATAATAGATGGCCAGCAAGTAAGTG